CCCCCCCCCCCCCCCGCTCCTCTCTCTGTGAGGTCATGAATAAATGACAGACAGCAGGAGGGGAGTGCTGAGTCGGGCTGATGGAGGATGGGGGAAGGGAGTTGGGGGGGCAGGTGGGGGAGGGGAGGAGCATCTGGTTTGTATTCAGCTCTCAGCACCTGACCGTCTGCATCAGCTCGTCCTGCTACTGTCGACAAGTTCAAATCCACCTGAGTGTGTGTGCTGAATACACAGGCTGTGTAAAGGAAGTGGGCGTGGCCTCCGTGAAGTCCCCTGTTGGGTTGTGGACTACTGTTTTGAAGCCTTTTTGGCTGTTGCCATCTTGGTTGTTTTGAACCAGATGGGACCATATTTGGACGAGAGGGTGGAGCTAGCTAGCTGGTTAGCAAGGTGCATCTGTAGTTCACATTAGCTGTGATATTAGCTGGGATGCTCATTTTAGCTAGCGACAAACAGGCTTAAAACTAAACGTAAATACTGAAAATAAACAGCCGACTCCTGATGAGCTTTGTCAGCTGTGCTGGTTAAATGTTCACAGAGCAGCGGATACGAGTCGCCTCTATCCTGATTGACAGGTCGCCATGGTAGCGACCTGTCAATCATCTTGTAGCCCCGCCCTAAAGCCTCCCCTGCTTCCTGGTCTCTGTTCCTCTAAATGGGACCATAATTTACTAAATGAACATCATGCTGTGTTGAAGAAGACTTGAAACTAGAGACTGAGACCATAAACTCATCAGGAAAGTGTTTACTGAGGGAATAAATCAGCTGACAAGTAGAAACATTTTCTTTCTGCAGCCGTTGGAGTCGCCCCCTGCTGGCTGCTAGAGAGGACGCAGGTTTAAGGCAGCCGGAGGTTCCTGATTGGTTTAATAACTGTTATATAAAATGAGGTTTTACTCTAAATCTAAAAGGTGCAGAGTTTTGGGGATCATGATGAAACACGAAGGAATCTGATCCTTTACTGAAGTACAAGTACACAAGTATGCATGAGTATACTTTTACTGCATGAGTAAAATGTCTGCAGAGACTGATGAGCGGTGTTTTATAGATCTGATTAAAGGGAGAGTCTCGGCTGATTCAGGTGGCGTTTGTGCTCTGTCAGACCGCCCTGACGGGAACAGCGGGTAGCAGTTACCATGGAGATGGACGTCATGCCCCTCGGCGTGCAGCATCAACACATGACTCTGTGGGACAAACAACAAACGCCACTAACATTTCTATGTAAAGTTAGGAACCCCAGAGTCTCAGGGGCCGGGGGTCTGTGTCCCCTCACCAACAAAGAGCCCAGTGTCTCACTAGTGAACTCATTTCATATGTAAATGAGCAGGGCGAGGGGGGCAGGGCCTGACCCAGATCCGAGTCCTCCTGCAGGTTTGTGTGTTGATGTCTCGCCATCATCGTAGGAACTGTGTCAGCAGACAGGTTATTCATTCTCCAGCTGGTCTGTTCGACTTCCTGAACGAGAAAACTTTATTGTTCATTAGGAGAACAAAAGAGCGTCTGAGCGCTTCATCCTGTCAGTGAATTACTTTTTAACATCTTTGTTTTCCAAAGCACACGAACTTTACGATTTACTTATTACTCTGAAATTAAAGTACTATGACGACTTCTTCTTTGTACATATCCAACGCGCTCTGCAGGGCAGTTTGTCCATTTGGGCTCCTGTAGAAACATGGCGGTGTGTGTAGAAACGTTTCATATATATATTCACGTTCAGTAATAAAAACATGACGGCTCACTATGGAAGGTCTTTATGCTTCACTGAGAACCAGGTTCTGGGTATTAAATATTAAACTCTGGACCTTTGAAGATACTGAGTTGTATTTTGTCTGAACCTGATCTCTTTGGGCCTTAGTGGATCCTGATAGGTCTCTTTCTAGCCCGGTAGATTGCTTTAGAGTTCAGTAGATGTCTGGAGGTTCCACTGGTTCCAGTACTTTCAGTAAAACTACATATGATCCAGTAGATCCCATCAGATCATTTAGGTTTCATGGATCACATTAGATCTAAATAAGGAAATAAATCAATAAATGCACCAAAACAATATGACAAATACATTCATGTATAAAATCTGAAACTAGATTTTCTTCTGTATTTAATTTTCCATTTAACAGATTGTTTCTAAAAGTGTGCGAGGGTCCAATGTTTCGCCTGTTGGCTGATCAACCCTTTGTTTTCTGGGGAAAACTGCACAATAAATAAAACAGAAATACTCTTCAATGGTTTTAGCAGGCGGAGGAGCTTCAGGAGGGAACTTCCTCTGGGAGAGCTGAGAGCTTTAATCCAGCAGGAATCAGATTATGTAATCTGCAGCTTCGCAGGACGAAACCCGCTGCGGCACCACCTCACTGACCTTCAGTCCGGTACGGCACCGCGGGAGGGACAGTAAAGCTCACTGCCACCACTCGACCCTGACGGAGGTCAAAACCACGACGGTAGAGAGCTTCACTGCTGGAAATAAAAAACACGTCAGGTGTTAATCTGAGATGGTTTTATATTCCCCACGCACACGCACAGCCTCCTGTAGCTGATTAATAATTTAAAGCTGCAGGAGAAACTGCTTCGTCACCCCCCCCCATGTGAGGCTCGGCCTTATACTTTTCTACAACATCATGTGAGACCTCTGCAGCGTACAAATGTCCCACGCTGAAAACAAAGGTACTGTACTGCCTGCACACATTTATATCTAAAGAGAGTTCAGGGCTCAGCCGTAATCTGGACACACTGGACTGTCCTGCTGTGGTTACAGACACTGAACTCAACACAGATGCTGGACTGTCCTGCTGTGGTTACAGACAGTGAACTCACCACAGATGCTGTGGTTACAGACAGTGAACACACCACAGACGCTGTTATTACAGACAGTGAACTCACCACAGACGCAGTGATTATAGACAGTGAACTCACCACAGATGCTGGACTGTCCCGCAGTAATTACAGACAAGGAACTCACCACAGACGCTGTTATTATAGACAGTGAACTCACCACAGACGCTGTAGTTACAGACAGTGAACTCACCACAGATGCTGTGGTTACAGACAGTGAACTCACCACAGACGCTGTTATTACAGACAGTGAACTCACCACAGACGCAGTGATTATAGACAGTGAACTCACCACAGACGCTGTAGTTACAGACAGTGAACTCACCACAGATGCTGTGGTTACAGACAGTGAACTCACCACAGACGCTGTTATTACAGACAGTGAACTCACCACAGACGCAGTGATTATAGACAGTGAACTCACCACAGACGCTGTAGTTACAGACAGTGAACTCACCACAGACGCAGTGATTACAGACAGTGAACTCACCACAGACGCTGTAGTTACAGACAGTGAACTCACCACAGACGCTGTTATTACAGACAGTGAACTCACCACAGACGCAGTGATTACAGACAGTGAACTCACCACAGACGCTGTAGTTACAGACAGTGAACTCACCACAGACGCTGTGGTTACAGACCGTGAACACACCACAGACGCTGTAGTTACAGACAGTGAACTCACCACAGACGCTGTGATTACAGACAGTGAACTCACCACAGACGCTGTAGTTACAGACAGTGAACTCACCACAGACGCAGTGATTACAGACAGTGAACTCACCACAGACGCAGTGATTACAGACAGTGAACTCACCACAGACGCTGTGGTTACAGACAGTGAACTCACCACAGACGCAGTGATTACAGACCGTGAACTCACCACAGACGCTTTGCTTACAGACAGTGAACTCACCACAGACGCAGTGATTACAGACAGTGAACTCACCACAGATGCTGGACTGTCCCGCAGTGATTACAGACAGTGAACTCACCACAGACGCAGTGATTACAGACAGTGAACTCACCACAGACGCTGTGGTTACAGACAGTGATCTCACCACAGACGCTGTGGTTACAGACAGTGAACACACCACAGATGCTGGACTGTCCCGCAGTGATTACAGACCGTGAACTCACCACAGACGCTGTGATTACAGACCGTGAACTCACCACAGATGCAGTGATTACAGACAGTGAACTCACCACAGACGCTGTTATTACAGACAGTGAACTCACCACAGACGCAGTGATTACAGACAGTGAACTCACCACAGATGCTGGACTGTCCCGCAGTGATTACAGACCGTGAACTCACCACGGACGCAGTGATTACAGACAGTGACCTCACCACGGACACAGTGATTACAGACAGTGAACTCACCACAGACGCTGTGGTTACAGACAGTGAACTCACCACGGATGCTGTGGTTACAGACCGTGAACTCACCACAGATGCTGGACTGTCCCGCAGTGATTACAGACCGTGAACTCACCACGGACGCAGTGATTACAGACAGTGAACTCACCACAGACGCTGTGGTTACAGACAGTGAACTCACCACGGATGCTGTGGTTACAGACCGTGAACTCACCACGGACGCAGTGATTACAGACAGTGAACTCACCACAGATGCTGGACTGTCCCGCAGTGATTACAGACAGTGACCTCACCACGGACACAGTGATTACAGACAGTGAACTCACCACAGACGCTGTGGTTACAGACAGTGAACTCACCACGGATGCTGTGGTTACAGACCGTGAACTCACCACAGATGCTGGACTGTCCCGCAGTGATTACAGACCGTGAACTCACCACGGACGCAGTGATTACAGACAGTGAACTCACCACAGACGCTGTGGTTACAGACAGTGAACTCACCACGGATGCTGTGGTTACAGACCGTGAACTCACCACGGACGCAGTGATTACAGACAGTGAACTCACCACAGACGCTGGACTGTCCCGCAGTGATTACAGTCCGTGAACGCAGCGCTGCTCAGAGGCACTGCGGCAGATCTGAACCTGCAGAGAGAGAGAGGGGAGAGAGAGAGATCACGTGACCGTCAGCAGGCTCTGTCCAATGGAATGAATGGACTGTAAATAGGAGCCAATGAGGAGCCAATGAGGAGCCAATGAGGAGCAGGGAGGGGGGGTGGGGGGGTATAAAAATCTGAGACGCGCTGTAATCCTCAGCAGCAGAGCCGGATCCGCTTCAGACCACATCCCAGCAGACTGAACCGACAGGTAGGAACACCTCTAATGCTGACCAATCACAACGCAGTTGATCAATGAGTTCACCAGGATCAGTTTAACATGCGGGAGAGTGCGCGCGCTCTGCGGTGAACAGACGGTGTGTTCACGGAACAAAGGAGCAGACGGACCGGGCTGTAACGGTAGACCTGCAGACAGCCCCCCCCCCCCCCCTCTCTCCGCCTCTCTCTCCGCATCCCAACGACCTTGCGGTCCGTCCCGGTCTGCAGGTGTTGCGCAGTCTCCTTGGACCCGAACCTGCAGCATCTTAATGATCCGCATTAATCTGTGAACCGGTACCAACAAAAGGTCTCGTGAATAAATAAATCCACCGTAACTCCGGTAATCAGCTGAGCGCGCGCCTCTGATTATCGCTATTATTGGTTTTCAGCGTCATTAAGGGCTCTGACCCACTGCGCATGCTCAGGTCTGTATTGAATATTTTATTGTGTTTTAGCGGGATAATCCCGGACCCGGTGTTCCGCCTCAGCCATCATAAAGAGGCAGATGATCTGCCGGTGGAGACCCGGTTCGTGTGTCGGTTTCACCACCAGAACCCGGTTTGGTTCGGCAGATTCGGTCGTGCTGAAGGTGACCGGGCATCGCGAGGTGCGGCGGCCGCGCGGTGAAGGGTTAAACCGGCCTGCTGCTGCGTCACTCCGGCCTCCCGCAGCTCCGAGTCCCGGTTTACACTCTGCAGGTCCCCTCAAGGCTTTCCTCATCCGAGACGAGCCGAGCCGAGCCGAATTCTGATTTAAATCAGTTTTCATTCGAAACGTTTTGATGGAGGAGGAAGGACCTGAGTACACGTTAGAGGTACTTTTACTGCAGTGCAGTACTTCCCTCTGACAGCTCACCTGTTATAAACAATCGATCCTTAAAGTTTTTATTTTAGATAAGAAACTTTATTTGTCCCCAAACATCTCAGAGGACAGGAAGTAACACTGGTTACAGATCCAACAGCTGTTCTGATCCGTTCAGGGGAACCGGGTCCTCCTCAGTACAGGACATTTGGCCCTCGCTCCAGGCCAATCACAGAGCAGCTGATCAAAAGTAGCAGCCAGATTCCCGGATGTTAAAAACACATTAAGCTGTTTCTGGAAAACCTGGATGTGAACTTGGAGAACCAGAGTCGCTGTGTCACCAGCTGTCCTCGCGGTGAATTTCAGGTAAAGCTCACAGTGAACGTGTTGCTGCAGTAACAGAATATCTGACTCCGCCCACTTCCTGTCCTGCAGCCGCTCGTGGTTTCACCTTCAGCTAGCGAACAGCGCGCAGGACGCTCGCCGACCGTTTCCGTCCTCGTTTACTAGAGCAGCGGTCAGACCTTTGAAACAACACACCTGGACCTGGGCAGGTAAACCTCCGGAGGTCCAGCTGCTTACTGGAAACAGCGACCCCACCCAAGCAGCCAATCATCTTACAGAGGTAACAGTCAGCTCGCTAACATCTGATGCTAATGGGCGCTGACGTTACCCATCAGCCGGTGGCGCTGACCGCCGGGGGAGGGTGCGGTCCATGTTAGGGACGTCTGAAATTGTACTTCAACATTCAGAAATATCTTTAAACAGTTACAGGAAAGAAAGACCTGCTGAACTTCTGTTTCCGCCTCTTTTGGAGGGTCCAAGTCTTCTCAGACCCCCCTAATCGCATGTTTAGTCCATCAAACGCCGCCTTCAGTCTCTGACTGATGATGATGACTACCTGTCCCCAGGTGAGCAGCCGGACGACATCATGCCTTTCGGAAACACCCACAACAAGCTGAAGATGAACTACTCGGCGGAGCAGGAGTACCCCGACCTCAGCCAGCACAACAACCACATGGCCAAGGTGCTCACGCCCGAAATGTACGCCAACCTGCGGGACAAGGAGACGCCCAGCGGGTTCACCCTGGACGACGTCATCCAGACCGGTGTTGACAACCCAGGTAACAGCCCCCGACGGGGTAAAAAACCCTGACCGGGTAAAAACCACTGACCGGGTAAAAACCAAAGACCACCAACCAGGTACAAGTCCCCTGACCGGGTAACAACCACAAGACCCCCAACTAGGTAACAGCCCCCTGACCGGGTAAACACCACCGACCCCTAACCAGGTAACAGCCCCCTGACCGGGTAAAAACCACAGACCCCCAACCAGGTAACAGTCCCTGACGGGTTAACAGTCCCCTGACCGAGTTACAACCACCGACTGGGTAAAAACCCCTGCCCCCAAACCAGGTAACAGTTCCTGACCGGGTAAAAACCACAGACCCCCAACCAGGTAACAATCCCTGAACGGGTAAAAACCACTGCCCCCCAACCAGGTAACAGTTCCTGACCGGGTAAAAACCACTGACCCCCAACCAGGTAACAATCCCTGAACGGGTAAAAACCACTGCCCCCCTACCAGGTAACAGTCCCTGATGGGGTAAAGACCACTGACCCCCTACCAGGTAACAATCCCTGACCGGGTAAAAACCACAGACCCCCAACCAGGTAACAGTCCCTGACGGAGTAAAAACCACTGACCCCCAACCAGGTAACAATCCCTGAACGGGTAAAAACCACTGCCCCCCAACCAGGTAACAGTCCCTGACGGGGTAAAAACCACTGACCCCCAACCAGGTAACAGTCCCCTGACTGGGTAAAAACCACAGACCCCCTACCAGGTAACAGTCCCTGACGGGGTAAAAACCACTGACCCCCAACCAGGTAACAGTCCCCTGACTGGGTAAAAACCACAGACCCCCTACCAGGTAACAGTCCCTGACGGGGTAAAAACCACTGCCCCCCAACCAGGTAACAGTCCCCTGACTGGGTAAAAACCACAGACCCCCAACCAGGTAACAATCCCTGAACGGGTAAAAACCACTGACCCCCAACCAGG